TTTTTTTTTTTTTTTTTTTGAGACAGAGTCTCACTTTGTTGCCCAGGCTAGAGTGAGTGCCGTGGCGTCAGCCTGGCTCACAGCAACCTCAATCTCCTGGGCTCAGCGATCCTACTGCCTCAGCCTCCCGAGTAGCTGGGACTACAGGCATGCGCCACCATGCCCGGCTAATTTTTTTTGTATATATATTTTTAGTTGGTCAATTAATTTCTTTCTATTTTTGGTAGAGACAGGGTCTCGCTCAGGCTGGTTTCGAACTCCTGACCTTGAGCGATCCGCCCGCCTCGGCCTCCCAAAGTGCTAGGATTACAGGCGTGAGCCACCGCGCCCGGCCAATAAAGCTGTTTTTAAAAAGTTTTCAAGCCAGGTACAGTGGCTCATGCCTGTAACTCTGGGAGTACTAGGCAGGAGGATCGTCACTTGGGGTCAGGAGTTCAAGACCAGCCTGAGCAAGAGCAAGAAAGACCCTGTCTCTACTAAAAAAGAGAAAATATTAGCCAGCGTGGTGGCGCATGCCTGTAGTCCCAGCTACTCAGGAGGTTGAGGCAGGAAGATCATTTGAGGTCAGGAGTTCGAGACCAGCCTGGACAATTGCAAGACCTTGTCTCTAAAATAAATAAGTAAGAAAGAACTGTGGAATTTACTATTTCCTACTTATGTGACCTTGGGCAAATTAATAACTGTCTCTGACATTTCATCTATAAATGGCTGTAATAACTGCTTCTCAAGGTCACTGGGATGACAAAATAAGTTAATATACATGAAAATGCCTAGCAAAGTGCCTACTTTTTTGGCTTTCCTGGGATAAAGTCTTTGGTGCCCTCACCAAACATCCATTGCAAACTTAATTGTATTTCCCCTGTTCCCTGCCTGTGAGCTCTTGGCCTTTCTCCACTTAGAGCAAGGAGTGTTTCTGTAGCCCTGGAATTTTAGCCATCCTCCTTAGAACTTGCCAGGTTTTGGGGAATGGGGCAGTTCTTCCCTGCCTTTTAAATCTACTGCATTCTCTACTTGGAAAGTCCTGATCTCCCTTTTTTGGCTCCTGTGCCCAAGTCCTCATCCTGTGGTGAACCTAATGCTGGAGACCCTACAGCAGATGGGAGAGACTTGGCAGGGTGGCAAGCAGGTGTTCCCAGGAGTGCTCTGTTGCATCAACCTTGGCCTTGCATGCCTGTGCACCATTGCATGTCCTGAGACAGTCCCAATTAGAAAGGAGGCAGCAGCCCCGGCCTGCGTGAAGCTGGGGGGAGAGGCAGGCAGCCCCCTCACCTGGAAGGCCGTGATCCCGGGAGCGTTGCATGTTGAGAGCCGCTAGGTCCAGCCCAATCCTTCTCACTTGCCGAAACAGCTTGTCCCGGAGCTCATCCACTACCATGGCATCTTGCCGGTTCAGCTTGGCAGGGGTGGCCATGAGGCCTCTGAGGATGGGGTCGATGCCACCTGGTGGTGGGAACATGAGTGGCACAGATTGGACCAGCCTCAGGGAGTGGGTCATCATGTGATGCCAAGCTAGCTCAGAGCTGGATCAGCCAGTTGCTTATATTCTATACTATTTGTCAGGAAACAGACCTGGGGGTGGGGGCATGAAGGAGCTGCAGCTGGGAGGGGGAGAGATCACCCCACTTCTTAAAGAGTGGAAGGTGAAGGCAAACTCCTTGCAGGTCTGACATCAATCTCTGCCCCTTTTAGACATCCCAGAGGATGGGAGGCCTGTGACTGAGTGTCCTGCCTTGTCCCCACTGTCCTGGGGAGATATTAGCAGTGGCCTCAGTGGCAGCCTGGCCTCCTGGCAGTAAGCCCGGCCCACTTGGGGGAGGGTGTGCCCCCCACCTTCACCCTCATTTGCCTCTGGAAAAACCTGGTCACCTTCATACACGACTCGCCAACTGGCAAAGAAGGCAGAGCTGAGAGGAACTTGCGAGTTGGGTGCCGAGGCCTGGTATCGGCTGTCCAAGCGGAACATGAAGGGCTGGAGCAAGGTGTGGCCGAAGCGGAAGGCCAGGGTGAAGACATTGGCCACACGCGGGTCCACATTGGAGCAGTACCCCCTGTAGGGCCCCAGGGTTCTCTTGGCCCGGGCCTTGCCCAGAACCAGGGGCAGAAAGTCTCGGTAGGTGATGATCTGGGAGAGAAGACAGGAGGAACATTACCCCAGTGGCTGCACGTCCCACACTCTTGCCTTCGCAAAGGGCCACCAGACATATTATCCTTTATTGTCATCATGCCAAATGTGGCAACGTTAATTTCACATTGGTAGATGGAGATGCTGAGTGACATGGACAGGGTCACACAGTGAGCGAGTGGCAGAATCGGGGGTAGAGGTCAGATGTCAGGCACACCCGCAGTCACCCGGACCCAGCTGGCTTGACACACATCCCAAGGATGTGTTAAGGAAGGTGAGAGCCGCTTCCTCAGTTGCTTCTCCAGGCCAGGCTGTCTTCTGGGGGATGCTGGGACCCAGGGCCCCTCACCTGGACCATGGCTCCCACGATCTTCCGAGCCTCGTTGTACAGCTTGTCTCCAGTCCACCAGGGGTTCAGGCGCCGCAGCTCGGTGGCCAGCCGGTTATGCTCTCGCATAAAGAGGGTGTGCATGGCTGCCAGTTTGGGAGTTTCCGATGATCGGGAGTCACCTTGAAAACCCCAAGTTCAGAGTTGCCACAGCCTTTCCCAGAGAAATGTCTTCCTGCTAGTATAGTCATTTGCTTGCTTTTAACCAAGCCCTTTTGCAAAAGGCCTTATTTGGGCAGCTCTTCCGTAGACCTGTGTTGCTGCTCTTCCCAGGACACACACATGTGCAGTCCTTAGACACGGGGGTGGAGCTGACCCCCCGTGGGGAGAGCAGCAGAAGGGTGGAAGGGAGTAGACGGAGCAGATGGGACCCTCGCTGACTTGAGTCCCTAACGTGAACTCTGCCCTTTGAAACTCTGTGCTCTTGGGCACCTTATCCATCTTCCCTGGGTCTCAGCTTCTCATGTGTAAAATGAGAATGATAATCCCCTCCTTTTAGGGCTGCTGGAAGGTTGAGGGATGGCACATTTAAATATCTTAAATAACCGGAAGTGATTACCATTATTATCATAACCATGTACATGCGGGGAATTCAAATTATGCATCCAAAAGAAGGGACCAGGCAACAGTGTCTGGCCACAGTGTGTGTGCGTGGAGGGGGCTGGGGGGCTAAGGAAATTTAGCCCAGCTTGGCAAAGGAATTTAGCCTAGAGAAGGAGAAAATTTAGATGGAAATAGCAGCTATTTTGGGGTAATTAAAAGGGCAGTTGCGGTGTGAAAGAGAGACAGCCTCTCTGAGATTCCAGAAACATGAATCGGAGCAACAGGTGGATAGTGGATCAAAACGAGGGGGACCTTCCTAAAAGTCAGAGCTGCTTGGGGAGGGGCTGACGTGCCACGTAGGTGGTGAGTCCCTTCTTGCTGGAGGTGGTCAAGCAGTGATCTCGCCACACACAGGGGGTTCGCAAAATCTTCCCCTTACTGATTCTGTGATTGTGCACAGACCTGTGCCTGTGGTGTGCCTGATCCTGAGGTCCCAGCCACGTGCCCTCCCTGCAGCCACCCGGCTTCCCAGTCCCGAACGCAGGGACGGCTGTTTTCTGGGAAGACACCACCTCTCCCCAGTCTGACCTGCCAGGAAGCAGGGGATGCGCGCCGAGCGGTTGGTGAGGAGGCAGGGGTCCTCGCGCAGGTTGTCGAAGGGCAGCAGGGCCCGGCCCTTGTCGCGGAAGCGGGTGTTGACGGCCAGCAGCCCTCGGTAGTTGGTCCGGTCTCGGAGCCGCAGGGCCAGAGTGACCTCGCTGCCGTACACCATGCTGGCGTCCACGAAGGAGGTGAGCGCGTTGATCTGGTTTCGGACCGTGTTCCTGCTTTGGGGGCACGCGGGGGCCGAGCGGAAGAAGGGGATGCAGTCATGCCGGTCCTTGATGCGGGGGTCATTGGGTGGGATCTGAGGTAGAAGAGGGGACAGTGACACTGGGACCCCTCCCTAGCAGGCCCACTCCTCTTGGTCATCCCCCACCTCCCTCAAAACCTTGCTTAAAACTCCCCTCCTCCACTCACCCGGACTCGTGCTGCTCACCCTTCAGCATGAGTGTCCTTAGCACTTTGTGTCAGAGTCATCATAGGTTAGAAATGAGTGAGGCTTTTGAAACAGTCTAGATCCTCATTTTACAGATGGGGAAACTGAGCCTCAGAGAGGGGAAGTGACAGCTAGTTATTGAGATAGGCAGGTTGAGAACACAGTTCTGACGTTCAGGCCTGTGCTCCTTTAATTCTGTTCAATTTGACAGACCTTTTCTAAGCTCCTTTCTTGCTTGGTGCTTTGGAGACCATGAAGGTCAAAAACCCAGTAAAGGTCGCAGGAAACTGGCAGTTCCGTGAAAACACACACACACACACACACACACACACACACAGAATTAAGTAACTCTAAATTGAAGTGGCATTTGCTATACTTAATATAAAAGTCAAACGCTAAAGGTATAATAGGAAGACCTGGGAAGGCTCCCCAGAGGAGGGGTCCCTGAGCTAGGGCTTGAGGAATGGATAGGGTGACTACAGGCAGGGGCCAGCCAGGGACCTTGCGTGTCACCCCTCATGAATGTCACCCCACCTGTTAAGAGGGAGTGAATGTGTGTGAGCTGTGCATGCATGTCCCCCTACGTCCCCAGCAGAGACTCCGCTTTCCTTTCCCTAGTGCCCCACACCAGCCTTGCCTCCCAGCTGGAAGGACAGGATCCTGCTCGCAGCCCAAGCCCAGGAGTTGGCGAGAGCTGCAGGACCCTGGAAGGTTTCCAAAAGTAGAGGCCGGGAGGCTCCCCATGTGGGAATCAGACCTGTGGGCCAACACCTGCCTCGAGTGCCTCCCCTTCCACGAAGCCTCCCGGCAGATGGGCCCACCCCCCGCCCTCAGACACGCACAGCACTCGATCCTGTGCCCGGCTGTGTCTCTTGTGTCTCCGTCTTACTCCTCGGCCCCACACACAGCTCCTTAAGGACGTTGCTTCAGTCCTCCCGACCCCCCACCAGCCCTCTGCCTGGGAAGAGGGCCCACCAGGGCCCTGGGAGACCGGCCGAGGTACCTTGATGGGAAAGCAAGGGGGCAGCTGGGCACAGGTCCTCTCACAGTCAACGCCCGCAGTGAAGGCCACTCTGGCTGGGGACTCTGGGGCGAAGTCCAGATCGTGGTCGAGGAACTGGCCCCACTGCATGAACATGAGGGACCGGCCCCGATCGGAGGCCAGCTTCCCCGTGGGGAAGCGCACGATCTGGTTGGAGACGGCCCGGACCTGGTGGGGAAATAACGTCAGCGCGGAGAATGGGCTCCCAGCCCCCCAAGGTGTCGGTGCCAACCCAGGTCTCAGGGGGCAGCAGCTGCCCCTGCTGGAGTTGACGGTCTCTCATCCTCTTCCGCCCTCCCATGCCCTTCCCCCCTTGTCCCTGGAGATGAAGCCACCTCCTGTTGTTGCTGTCACTCTGGAAGGACAGTCTCTGGTGTGGCCCTGAGGGCTCCAGCAGTAAGGAGAAGGAGAGGGGCAGGTCAGCTGGCTCAGGCCTCACCAGCTCTTCCAGAGGGGTAAACAGATCAAATTGATAGACCAATTCATAGACCAATAGATAACCAGATGATGGCACCGATTCTTAGATGCATGGACTGGTTTCGAGGTGATGGATAATAAATATAGACAGAACTGGATGGATGGATGGATGGATGGATCAGTAGAAGAAAGATTAATTAATAGATGTTGATAAATGGGTAGGTGATAGATTGTTATATTGACATATGAATAGAAAATTGATGAGCCTATAAATGTGAAATAACATAGATCAATAGATAGAACCAGATTCAGGTGCATAGCTCTTCATATTTAGTAAGATACTTTGATAGTAATTCAGAGAAAAAAAACCCAATACTCTAAAGCTAGCATTAATAGATCACATCCTGTATAGCTGTTTAGACCAAATATTTTACTTACTATTCACACTACTCTATAAGGTAGGTTTTACTACCATTTTACAGATGAGGAAACCAACTTGGAAAACTTTTATTTGCCCGAAGTCACCCAGCTGGTCAGTGGGGTGCCCGGGTGTGTGCCCTGTCTGGATGACTCTGGGCAGTGTTTTACTCCCACATTTAAAAGAGATCACATGCATCCTCTGCTCCCCGAGCCCTGACTCACGAGAGGGAGGAGAAAGCCATTGCGCCTCGTGCTGGGGGTCCAGCCGAAGGGAAGTGACAGTCCATCCTCATACCTGGCGGGCAGCCAGCGGGCCAGGGCCTGGTTGGAAGCTCCCAACAAGGGTCTCCTCCTGCAGCAGGGGGTGGGTCAGGGTTAGCAGGCTCTACATGGAGGGTGGGAGGGGTGGCGGGGGTGAGGGAAGGGAGGTGTCCCCGAATCAGTGCAGCCCCTGGCCCCTACCTGTTGTTGCACCTCCCGGTGATGGTGCGGTACTTGTTGCTGCACCTCTCAGCCTGGTCCTGGACAGCACAGCCACTGGCCTGGGACAGTCGCCGCAGCTGGGCTTCCGTCAGCACATCTGCGGGAAGGGCAGGTGGGCAGGCCTGAGCTGGCCTGTTCCATATCTCCCGTCCTTTTCCCTCTCTCCTCCCAATACCGCAAGGTTGTGCCCCTGTCCCCTGACCCCAGCTTCCTTCCACTCCCAGGACAAGGCAGGCCCCAGGGGCTCAGTGGGGGGCAGAGTACCGGTGACATTGAAGGGTCTGGGCCACTGGTGTTGTAACTTCTTTTCCAGCAGCCCCAAGGCCACATGCATGTAATCCGCAGCCCGAATGACTGTCCTGGTGGTCGCTGCTGGTTGCTTGAAGTAGGACAGGAGGTCCATGGGGCTGGCCGAGCCGCTGCGCAGGCGCTGCGTTATGCTGCTCAGAAGGCGAGTGAGGGCTGGGGGAGGGGTGCAGAGCTCCCAGCAGAGCCCCAGCCCAGGGGACATCAGGACAGGGCAAACAGACAGAGGGTGGATGGAAGGGAGGCACTCTACCAACGGCGGAGATCCTGAGGGGCTCAGGGCTGGGCGTTGGGTGACATGACCCTGGCTGGAGCCCACCCCGCCCCATTGGCCCAACCAGGCCCATGCAGCCCCCAGACCCAGGCCCACCTCCTCTGGGTCCGGTTGTAGGCGGCATCCACCAGCAACTTGGCCTCTGCTATGCAGTCCTGGAGGACTGAGGTCTCCACTGCTCCGGCAGAGGCTGCTCAAAGGGGATGGGGACTCAGGGTGCAGGGGAGCCACAGAACCCCCCCAGACCCAAGCACTTGCCCTCCATTCTCCTTCCCTCAGACCAGCCCTCCTCCTCAGCTGTCTAAGGGGCTATCACCTGCGGCAGTGCCCTCCCAGGGCTGGGCAGGCTTGAGTGTGGCTAGGACTCCTGCCAGGGCCAGGAGCAGCTGCATCCCTGCAACGAGACTTCCCCAGCTGGGGGAGCAAGCGACACCCCCAGCCTGCACCGAAGGCTGCTTGCCTGGAGGACCCCCAACTGGCCTCTGACCTCCTCCTGCTCTTCTCTGGAACTAGCTGGGAAGGGACATTTATATCCCATCCTAGGTCTGGGGGAGGGCAGCTCTGGGGCCCAGAAGCCCAGCCTCTTGGGTGGGGTTTCTGTAACCTCCCTCTCGTTTTCAGGGGAGTCGTGAGACTGAAACACCCACCCCACCCCTTGCCAGCCTGGGGGTGTTCTTCCCTCCTACCCCCTCACTCCAGCCCCACCCTCTACTGCCGAGTCCACTGACGTGGGCGGCACCTGGGACACAGGTGTCTCTCGATGAGTATTTGCTGGATGGCTGAGGAGCCGTGAGCATTGGAAGAGGACTGGGCCAGGCCCTGCCACTGACCAGCTGCATGGCCTTGGGCAAGTCCCTTCTCCTCTCCAGGCCTCAGTTTTCACATCCCTAAAGTGGGAGTTGAGCCAGATGATTGGAAAGGCTCCTCTCCTCCCCCGACAGGGCAGGACTTGGGTTTGCCTTACTGTCGTATCCCTGCATGCCCAGCACGGGGCCTGGCATTTAGTGGGCACTCAGTAAGTGTTTACTGAATGAATGAATGAATGAATGAATGCTGTGTGATCAAGGACTCGGGCCCTCCCTGTACCCCTCACCCTACCGGCTCCTCCCTGGTGCAGGGAGAGAGGGAGGCTGCGGCTGAGGCAGGGCCTGGCAGTAAGATGTGTCCTGGGGCCATGTGGGGGACACAGCGAGATGCCAGGGTTGGGGCAAAACACCCCACAGAGTGAGCTGCGTGGCAGCAGGCCTCCCTCGAAGCCGTGTGCCCACCGTGGCCTTTACCCTTCCCCAGGAGACGCTCCCCCAGTGCATGTCGGGAGCAGGTTTACTCTGAGAAGTAGGTTTAAACTCTGAGTTCCTATTGGGCTTGATTGGGGGGTCACGTCATTTTTTTTTTTTTAAGACAGAGTCTCACTCTGTTGCCCGGGCTAGAGTGCTGTGGCGTCAGCCTAGCTCACAGCAACCTCAATCTCCTGGGCTCAAGCAATCCTACTGCCTCAGCCTCCTGAGTAGCTTGGACTACAGGCATGCGCCACCATGTCCGGCTAATTTGTTCTATGTATTTTAGTTGGCCAATTAATTTCTTTCTATTTTTAGTGGAGATGGGGTCTTGCTGTTGCTCAGGCTGGTTTCGAACTCCTGACCTTTAGCGATCCACCCACCTTGGCCTCTCAGAGTGCTAGGAATTACAAGCATGAGCCACCGCGCCCGGCCAAGGGGTCACTTCTTTAGAGGTGACTTGCTGCAGTGAGCTCATGGTGACTTGGGTTTGAATCCAGCTCTGTCACTAGCTATGTGACCTCGGCTGGGCCTCCATGTCCACATCCTGAGTGTAGAAGGCGCCCCAGCCAGCCTTCCCCCAGGGCCGTCCTCTCCCACACCAACACGTCTTTCCCCCTGCAGTGCCCACCCAGGGACACTTGTGGCTCATGCTTTGCTTGTGACCCGCCGGCCTGCCTGGAGGGCACATGCTGGGCTCTGAGACAGAATCGCCATCGCTGCACCCGGCACCTGCCATGCCCCTTCTTCAGGTGGGCATGTCCGCTCCTTCCCAGCGCAGGCCCCACACCTGCCAGGCTCCCAGCACGGCTGGGCCAAGTGTCCTTGTCTCTGTCCCCTTCCCCAGGCCCTACCTAAGCCCCGCCCGGCGCCCCCCGCAGCAACACCACCAGCCTGACGGTTGCCCTTGAAACAGCCGCTTTGCTTCTTCGGCAACCCCTTTCACAAGCTGCAGTTGATGGCCGGGCCCCGCCTGATCTTATCTTCAGCAGAGGTCCCTCTCCTGTGCCAAGGGGGCCTGGGTGGAAGTCACCGTATAGGAGCTGAAAGTACATAGGGTTCCTTGCTGCGCGACTCACTGCGCGACTTGGAATTAGTCACACCACTCGCTAGACCTCAGTTTCCAGCCTGTGAGATGTGGACAGTGACTCTCGTGGAGGAGAGAAGTTTTAGAGATCACAGAGTGCCCCTCAGCTCTCTTCACCCCCCCTGCCCTCAGGGAGCCCGAGGCCCCCAGGTTGGGTCCAGAAGGGTGTGAGTAACCATGTAACCCGGCTTGCCCTCCTTCCAGGGTCCCCGGTGCTCAAAGCCCCACAAGGGGGACTCTAGTTCTTCAGCAATAGTGAGTTGTGCAAGGGTTTGCCACAGCTGTGGGCTGCTGTGGGTCACTGGGACAGTAACCCAGACCCAGCCCTGCCCTGCTGCCCGATCCCTTGGGGATTCCAGCCTGTTGACTGATGGTGCTGAGGAGGCCAGCCGGCCACGGGGGGTGGGTTCCCGGAGGCGCCGCAGGGGCTGGCAGGCAGAGCTGCAGGCCAGGAGGCTGAAGGAGGTGCCGAGCCTGCCACCTGGCTCTCCTGGGCTCTGGACACCGGGTGCCCCTTCAGGCTACTTTCTACCGCCCTCCTGCAGGCCCCTGCCCCTAGGCTCCAACCACCTTCCCCTCCAGTACAAACCCCATCCAGGCAGCTCCTGATTCTGCAGGAAGTGCCTCCATCCTCCTGGCTCCCTGTGGGAAGCCATCTCTGACACACCCCACAAGCCAGGCCAGGTCGGGTCCCTAAGCCGCAGCACTTAGTGCGTGCCGGTGGTGGGGACTCTTCGGCCTGGGCCCCAATCCCAGCCCCGTGATCCACTACTAGGGCAAGCTGCTCAGCCTCTGAGCCCACCTCCCCACCAGGTGATGGAGGCGTCACCAGGCCACCTCGTAGACACCGTGCCTGGCACACGGCAGGCACTCAACAGGGCTGTTGACTAAACCTTCTTGTCCTGCCCTGTTGTTGCTTCCTTTATCCCACTCACTCCTCAAGGCCAGCAATTGCCACCAACGGGAAGGGTGGGGCAGCGAGTGCGAGGGCTTCTCGAGGCTGAGCACCTGGAAGGGACGCCTCCAAAGTTAGGGCTGTTCAGAGCCTGGCTGTGAGCCCTCATGCTCATGTCAGAGTGCCTGCGCCTGCTGGCGGGCCGGGGCCCTGGAGACTCAGTGAAAGGACAGGTTGGTGATGGAGGGACGGAGCCCCTGGAGGCCTGGGCTCCACCCCCACCCCAGCTGCTTTAGGGGACAGGTGACATGCAGGGCACTTGCCATGCCCCACAGTGGCCCTCCTGTGTCCAGGGCTAACCATACTCAGGGACAAGAAGAGGGATGTGGCCCCTCAAGTCCCCCCACTCCCCCATGGGCTTTTCAGCATGCCCACGGGGACCTCGAGGGTCCCCGGGGTTAATTGCTGCCCAGTGGCAACATGCAGTGTCTGACACTAGGAGGAGGTTATTTTTGATACCCTCTCCTTTACACAGTGAAATCATTTTTAGTAATACTCATTAAATGAAACAAGTAATAATAAGGACCAGAAAAGAAATGTGAGAGTTTTCATTTCTTGAACTTTGTATATACAATCATGCCAGTAAAAAAAAAAAAAGCCATAAACATGAAATATTACAATATAAAAAGTAAAGGAATAATGGATTAATACTTTTTAATCCAAAACATATGAGTATGTTTTAACTGGGGAAAAACTACCTACATATTAGTAGTTTTAGTATTTAATATATCATTACAGCTTCTGTTTTCTTGATTCATTCTTTCATTTTAAAATGAACAATTACAAACTTAGAAAGGAGAATAAATTCGATCTTAGAGATATTATTCCAATTTAGTAAAATATTTCATGTATGAAGTGAAATTCGCACTTGCACAAAAATATTACAGCTTGCACTTTTTCACTGGTGTAAACGTTAAACACAAATTAAAGGTTTCTCTAGAGTGGCAGAATTGAAGGAAATCAAGGAAATCTTCGTCTTTGCAATCACCGCACTACCTGTCATTGTTTATGTCAAATCCACTGTGCACGTGCAAGACGTGCGGTGCTGCAGCGTGGGGACGTGCACGGCGCCAAGGCCTGGTCTTCACAGCTGTGGACCCAGCACCCAGCACAGGACTGGGCCAGGGCCAGCGCTTAGGGACGTTTGTGGGACACGAGCGATCCAGGTTCCAGCTTAACTCCGTGAGTCCACACACCCTTCTCCAGCCTGGAAAGGAAGACTTGTCTCCTCCCTGCCCAAATCCCCAATCCTCTGCCCTCCCTGGATGGCAGTTCAGCTACTCCCGGGGTCTTGCCCCCAGTTGGCTGGTGAGTGGGGTGGGGCAGGGGTTGGGGGCTTGGAGGTGATGTGGAGGGGGAAGAGCCTTAGCACAGGCCATAGGTGGGTCCCGGGCCATCCCCCGTGCGAGGTTTGGAGAGCAGGAGCCTGAGCTGCCGGTGGCAGGAGGAGCGCTGCCCGAGGGACGTGAGGATGGACAGTCCACTGAGCGTGTGGGCCAGGTGCTGGGATGTCAGCTGGGACACCCCACAGGGCCGGGAGTCCAGAGCCCGCTGCCGGGGATGGGCCAGGCTCCTTGCAGGCCCGGGGCCTGTTTGGACCTCAGAGGCTGGGGCTCGTTTGGGAGAGCGCTTCCTTTGAAAGGGAAATGGGTGAAATACAAGCCGGAGACTGAGCCATGCAGGAGGAAAGATCGGTAATGAGACCCATCAGGAAGACCACTGTTAGAGTGACAGGAGGAGACAAGGAGACTGGGACTGCCTGGAGACTGGGAATGTGGGGGCCAGAGAGGGTGAAGGCATCCTCAGCTGCTCCCCCTCCTTCCTCGGTGGCTGGGGGGAGTCAGGCTCTGGGGTACTTGGCGTCACTGGTCCCATGAGCATCCTGTCCACTCTGCTGACTCATCTTGTCCCTCCATGCAGCATTTCCCAACAGGGCTGGCACAATCTGGCCCCTGGCACCTCTCTGCTCCAGCACCCCTCTCCCCTCTCTCTGTTCCTCTGCCCTCAAAACCCACTGGCTTTCAGCTCCCGAAACGGGCCTATCCCCTGCCTGCTTTGGGTCTCAACCGTGAA